GTTTGGAGTTTAGCTTGAACAAACTAAAGCTGTGTTCACTTCAATCATCTAATCACGTGCACATTATCAACTCCCCATGCACATGATTGGGTATCTAAATTGAGCCTAGCTTTCCTCTGTAAAGTGGACATCCTCTGCTCTTTGGTAAATATACCCCATAAACAATCTCCAAACAGATCCAGGGAAAACAAATATGAATGCAATGCAATCACACTTGAAGTGCCCTTCGGTCTTGAATTTCTATTCATATACCTTTAAAAAAGGTCGAAAATGATCATATCAGTGTAAATGAGTAAATACTCTTAAAAATTCAGAAAAAGCTTTTAAAACCTGCAGGTAATCCCCTGAACCCAGCTGAACCAACCCCCAGTTCTGCAAGGCAGCAGTGCTAACCACGGAGCCATCCTTCTGTCTATACGAAGGGAGGTTACATTGTAAAAAGCTAGAATAAAACAGATTGCCTGTATAATCTAATCATTCTTTTTTATGAATATTATTTTCTACGCAGATCTCCGGATTTGGCGTGTTGGTCCTAAATATCATTAAACGCTTCTGGCACCAGCTTAGAGAGTCAGTGCATTATTCTACATTGTGCTGGAGAGCTATGCCAGCAGCATTTACATATCACACTTTAGGATCTTCTTACAATCCTGAAAAGCGTGCCTTCTTAAGTATGCAGTGTTCCCAGTCTCTGTTGGTGTTACCTTTGCAGTAATGACTTTGCCCCATTTTCCCTTGCATAATGCACAAAACAATGAGATGCTTTCCTCCTAGAAATGGTAATGATGCACAGATCTTAAAAGTCCAGTGTCCTAGATACTGAACAAGCAATTTGCAATTATAAAACTGAAAAACTGAAGCATGTCTATCCATGTATTTCTAATCTAAAAGCTTGTTTGTTTATAGGCCATACACATAGCAGCACACAATTACTTGTTTTCTAGAGGCTTAAAATTGGGTGGTAACTATGGCTATAAATGTAAGTATTAAGGATGGTTACAAATATAATGCATTTAAGGAGATTAGAACAGGAAAATAAAGAAGTGTGTTTAGAGGGTTAAAACAATTTAATACAATAAATGGTAAAAAAAAAAAAAAATATATATATATATATATTTTTTTTTAAATATGGGAATTATTCTTTCATTTTTACTTTACTTCTTTTGTTGGTTTTTGCATGCTTAAATGCCTTATATTACATATGTAATACACCAGGATTTACTAGTATTATTGGAATACATTTGTTAAAATATAGCTAAACCCAAAACAATTTTTATCCATTAAAGCATGGATTTAACTTTTAGAAGTTTTTATTTGCCATCTGTGTTCAGTTTTCCTTCACTTTCTGTCCTGTAGACAAGACAGGAAGTTACAGCAAATCTATCCAATGTGAAGGAACTCCTCTTATAGATGGTTTTCACTAAAAATGAAAATGTTGGATTTTACCTTCTATTGAGTCCCAGTGACAGTAGTCCATGGAATCCAATAATGGGGACATAATAAAAACCTGCCATGGGTTCTAACTGCTTACCATTCATTATAAAAAAAATGGCTTTAGATACATTTTATGTCAGACCCACAATATATATATATATTTATATTATGGTCAATGGCACTATTCATGCCAATGGATGTTCTTTCTGTAGCTTTAGAACCTTTGACTATGATGTCTATTTCATTGTATATTTTCTTGGCAGTTAAATATGTATTTTACTGCATTTCTGTAACATCTGCATTATTACTGCTCCTTTTTAAACCTTTTCTGGAAGTAGGGGCAACTTTCGGTATAAGTTGTATTGTAGTCAGCAGGATTAAATCACCCACTTTGATAAATGTGCCCCTACATATTTTGTTTCATTGTAGCACATAATTTACCTCTAAAAATAGTGACTGCATAAACGAAGTGCTATTAATCTGAGAAGGATGATCCTAATGACCGTTTCTATCATACCCAAATAAAACTGCCAGTGTAATTCTTTGACGTGAAGTCAAAAAGCTGTTCTTGCAATAAAAACGATGAGCAACATAGGTATAAAAAATAATGAAAAGAAAATAACAAACAGTTGCTGATGTATGTAATCCTTTTATTTGACAGGTCAGAAAGTGTACAAATTTCATTTGTCATATGATAATTAGAGTGCTGTAAACTCCTAGAAACCCTTATGGTTGAACTAGGTGAACTTGTGTCTTTTTTTCAGCCAGACTAACTATGTAACCCTAAATTCAGGTTTTGGATGCCATTAGTCCCTACAAAATTAATGTTATTTCTAACAACATACATCATTAAAAAGAGTACTCGGTACCGGGTATATTTCCTGATATGCTGATTTTCAGGTCAGCCCAGGGAAGCTATCATTGTTTGACACACCCATTCAAACGAAGGGTGGTTTAAGACTTTTGATTATCTCTATGGCCTTTTCTTTAAGGATCCATTTTTTAATTTTCTCTAAGGCTCCATGTCCCTTTATGACATCTTCCCTTTTCACATCTCTACGTCACAAAAATTAAAGATGACCCAGGATTTTTCATTGCAATCTCAGTAATGTCATAATTTTTTTTAAAATCTATATAATGTAGGTCATGTCACTACTTCTTCTCAGCACTGGCCCATATGGGGTGCTGGGCTAAACCATAGCACATCACATACCTGCCTGCATTTATATTTTTCACACCGTTCCAATTAGGCCATGCAGAGTGGAGTTAAAGCAGATCTTCTTCTGTAGCCCCCACCACCTTGGTCTGTTGTGCACATTTCTGATACTTGCTTACCTAGAGGATCCAGTGTTGCCCCGCTGAGATCCTCTTGTATTTTGCCACCTCTGTCCACCATGTTTATTGTGACATCATCAAGAGATCCGTCACTCTTCCTGGTTCAGCTGGCGTGCCTCCTAATGATGCGGCACTAGGCATGCCCCCCTCCTCTTTTTTGAATGACTCGGTATGCCTTCTGGAATATGTGATGTGCATATCCCAAGAAGCAAAGGAAGGGCACGGCATGTTATTTGCCTACACAACTGACATGCAAGGGGGAAAGGGGCTGCATTTTATCAATGGAAAAAAATTAAACAAACAAAAGATAGCCCTATTCTGTGTGCTGAGGGGGAGGAGAATTGGATAGGAGGGAAGTCTTTCTTGATGGTGAAGGTCCGCTTTAAGCTGTCAATCAAGCATCTAATCTACCCTGCAAGTGTTGCTGCCTTCGATGTGGGCTGATTGGAGGAATACACCCCATAAGTAAGCCACGAGTAGACAAGGCTTACTTGGCAGAGGAAGGGGAACATACTCACTGGGGTAGCAATGCTGCAGAAGCTCAGTTAGCCCAAAGATAGTTGCCACTGAGAAGAAGGTAGTCTGAATGACTAGCAGAATCAACAAGTAGATTCTCTAAAAGGAATGTTTCATTAAATAAGAAAGAAAAATTTATTCATTAATAAAAAAGGGAGAAAATGAAGCTACAACCATTTTAACAACCTTGATTTACTTAAATGGTCACCATTTGGCCCTGAAACATCATTGGTAGAGGGTATTCAAGTAAATCAAGGTTGTTTACTTAGCATTTTTCATATGCCGTCTTCATCATCATTCACGTTTGGATCTGTGGTTCCTTTGCTGCGTGCACAAATACTACATTTTATTGGCCCTGCAGTTTGTGTTTTAAGGGCTTTATCTATAAATCTGTTGTCTCCCTGTCACACGTGCCCCTGTTGGACTATAAGCGGCTGTACTGACAAACATTATGCAGGTGTGGCCCACGCATGGCGGCAGTGCTGACATGGTTTCCATCAGGAACCCAGCCAAAAACAATGATTTGCAGCTAATGCTGGAGAAAGTGCATGTAGACAGGAAGTGGCTGAAAGAACCATGGAGGAAATTGGCAGGGCTGGGATGCAATGAAGGATGAACAAAACAGTTAAAACAGTATATTATGAAAAAAATGGCAATTTATGACCCACAGTGGGGGCTATTTACTACAACTGGTGTGTGAATAATCTGGTGCAGCTCTGCATAGAAGCCAATCAGCTTCGAGGTCTTATTGTCAAAGCTTAATTGAACAAGCTGGAGTTAGAAGCTGATTGGCTACCATGCACAGCTGCACCAGATTCTGAGTGCACCAAATTTAGTAAACCTCTCCCCTCTGGGTATGATATCAGTGTATGATAGAAAATTAAAACAAGTATATTGCTGTTTGCTTTAGGAAACAGTTCTATATTATTTTGGTTTAGTATTATATAAAGAGCCCCACAGGCCAAAAAGGATAGTGACAATGAATTTGATGAAAACCAGAAAAGAATAAAAATGTATATTAAATAAAGTATTTTATCTAGCTAATATGTTGTAAATGGAATTCTCTTGGCATGTATTACCTAAAGTCATGAGAAAAAGGCTTTATAATAAAAACACAATTTTAAAGGCATTAAAAGTAAGATTGTAGCTTAAATCTTGTAAAATGAAAACCTTTAAAATCTTGAAAAAAGAGGACAGCTGATTATCCAGAACATATTTCAATATGAGCAAAACATTTTCCTTACTTTTTTATCATTAGTTAAATTAAGCGAATTACATTTTTGATGCCTGAAGTATGTTTTGATTTCCTCAACTTTAGATTTTTACTGTGTTTTCTGTGCTGGTGGGATCATTCTAATATTTCATTACTCTCAGAAGTTGCTTCTCATGCGTACATAAGTTTCAAACAATTAATTTGTCATGGTTTTCCAGTGTTGTGGTTTCAGTTAATCCCTGGGTATGTACTGAAGTTGTTAGGTTGATTACTATTGGTCACACGATATTTTTGCCATATGTGTCACAGGTGGGTGAATTGAAGTGTATAAAGATAATTGGCCAACCAAAATATAGTTTACCTTCCTACCTCTGACACCTTAGATCTAGAAGTGACTGACGAGTCTATTGAGAAGCCTAATGCAATGCAGATAAAAAAATCATTAATGCGATGTATAAATGTTATACCACAATTAATAAAACTCCTTTCCTGCCCCTCCCAGCTTTAAGCTGCAATGAAAATGATGGAGACCACATGGACAGAGACCAACAGTACACGCCCAACCAGAAAACCAAACGCATGAGGACCTCTTTCAAACACCATCAGCTCCGGACAATGAAATCCTACTTTGCTATTAACCATAATCCAGACGCCAAGGACTTAAAGCAACTAGCTCAGAAGACCGGTTTAACCAAAAGAGTCTTACAGGTAAATAAATACCAAATCCCATAGCATACTGTTTTTTCCCCAAATATGAACAAAAATGAAATTAAATGAAGAAAAAATATGTTGACATACACAAAAATACTAAATATAACACATAGATGTTGAATTGAAGAAGAATTCTGTTATTTAGGAATGCAATCAAAATATAATTCTTGATACACAACTCATTATTGTAGTATTGTACTAGTCTAAGTTTAACTCTTCGTTTTTTTTATACTACATTTTTATATATTACAAAAGTATTTTTTGTTATCGTATGCTTGTACAGGCTTTTGAAAATATTTTCAGAATTTAACTTTATTTTTTGTATTTGAATTCTGCACAGTTGAACCAGCAACGTATCTATGTTGCTGGAATGCTCTACCTGTGCTGAGGGCCTTTCGAGGAGCTTCCTTTTGATAAGACTGCATTCTGTAGATGTACAAGCATAAAATAATTGCCCCATGGCAAAAAAAAAAATATAAATGTATCCATTTTTACCACAAAAGATATTTAAAAGCCTCTGTATGTATAAAAGAGCAAGAAAGGTAATACATACTAATTAGAAAGTTGATGGTTTGCCTTCCTTGCCTTACAGTATCACATTTGTAAGAAAAGTGGAACTGCCTTTTAAGGTATTTTATTTTTTTTTTGTTTTAACATTGACATATCCCATTGGAATATTAGAGTCAACATAAAATAAAAATACTTTTAACAGTATTTTATTCAAATGTCAATGCAATTAAATTGAAAAACAAAACATGTCTTTTAACCTGAGAATATCAGCCCAGTACACTAGATATACAGTATGTGCAGTGCATATACCCTTAAATGGTGACCTCATAAAATGAACCACCCCCCTCCCAAAACACTAGCAAATAGAAACAATGTCATGTTTAAAAAGGCAAACTGTCCTTCAAGTATTATAAACTCGCCTGCTGTGTTACCAAATTTTTTTTTTAAGAATACTAAAAAATTTATGTTATCTTTTTTTGTTTTCTTATAAAGATTCTTTAGAGCTACAAAAGCAAGGGATTCTGGGAAATTCCTGCTTTTTCATTGTGTTAATTAATTAGGCTGCATTGTAGCTATGGGGATAGCAGTCCATATGACTGGTGTGCTAGGTTGGTGGCAGTAGGGAGAGGGGGCACATTTTGTTCACAATGTATAGGGCATGTCAAGGCAAAATGATATATAAAAAAAAAACATATGCAGCACCACTCTGTCTCTAAAAAACATGACCATTTATATGTGTTTTTTCTTTGTAAGTACCTTGCAAGTCCAGAAAAATAGCTGCTGATCTGCCTGAAGTGCACACACTTCTTAATTCCCAGTTGTGGATAACAACACACAGGTTTTTTGTGGCCTAATTGTTGTCAACCCTACCCAATTTTCTTTAGCTAAACTGCTCAACCCATCCCACTGTCTTCATCTCCAAAGCACAGGTGCTAATTTACTTTTCTTAAGAAAAAAACTAGGAGGGCTAAATAGACTCCTTCGATAACGCAGGACGTGTACACAAGACAGCTCTGATATGATCAAGTTTTTTTTTTTGCACTTGCAAAAAAAAGAAAAAAAAAGAAATACTTCCAATGGCATATAGGTTCATTATTAGGGTGAATATAGAGTTTAAAAAATGGTAAAAGACAGAAAAAAGGAATTAGTGATGAATTGGTGGATCCAGGCTTATCTAAAAGCTGCAATTTGGGGGCCAATCAGTGAACTGTGGGCGTAAAAAGTTTTTTTACTTGATCATGTCTAAAAAAAAAATTATATTTCTGCAGCAAGAATAAAAGCTCTCTTACAGCAAAGCGGATGGCAGAGTTGTGAACATTGGTGTAGAGATTTCTTTACTAGAGATCTAATAGGAAGCTTGTGGGTGATTAGTTATACAGTTACACACACCCCCTGATTTACTAAACTAAGTTCAAAAAAATGTTCATATTCACAAGAAGGTTTGGGCATATATTGATATAAAACATATATTAAAAAAAAGTCGTGTACATTTCTCTGCTGATATAGTTTGCATGCAAACATATTCCCAAGAAAACTTGGCTTTGTGCACACAGTTTTACATGCTGAAATGCCATAAATGGCACAAAGTCAAGCAATAACAGGAAGTGGTGCGTTCCTGGAGGGCAATTTCTGGCTTTTAAAGACATTTATCAGGAGCCATAGCAGGGGTATTCTATACTACTCAACAAATAAAGATAAATAATATAAAATAGAATAAATGTTGGAACATCAATGACCAAATAAAGTAAAGAATAATTTTTTTCTTATGAAAAAGACAAATAACACACATCTGTGCTGCATAGATTGCATTGTTCAGCTTAAACTATATCAAATATCATAATCCCCCCCCTCAAAAAAAAAATTACACTTTAGGAATTAGGAAAATTTTTAATGCCAAATCAAGTGAATAGTGAGCTAAGCCTAGACTTTTTTCAAAGTCCAAAAAAAAATTTATTTAACTTGCCAGCAGCTAAATATCTGCAGGAGTAACTGAGCCCAATTTTGTAAAACGGCTTTAACGTATGAATCTAATTGGTGAATCAGTTGCAAAATAGACTTGCAATTTGTTTGCTTGTGCAAAAAAATTAGCTTATGACATTAAAGAAGTAAAAACAGTTTGGTGAATCAGGTTTTGCCGAAAAAATGTTAGCATGTGAAATTAGGCTAAAACAATATGGTCAAACTAATTTTTCCTTTTAGAGGACTTTGTTCATAGTGTGCCCCTGCTATTATATAAATATGTACTGTATTTTATGCATATGCTCTATACAATAGAGAGAGCAAGCATATTATGGGGTTATTTTATTTTACTCAGGAGTTAAATACTGGCCATTAAAGATCAGTTTTATTGATATTAGTTTATTTACTATATTACTTTATATAGGATATCTAGGGCACTCTAAGTACTTCCCACCAAATATGGCAAATTATCTGTTAAAAACATTAAGCAAGTTAACTATTACTTCTGTCTTTAGATTGTGGAGAAGCTGGCTACAGGGCTACAAAAAGAAAATATCCCTTTGTCATTTTGGCTGTGAATGGCAAAAAAAAAAGGTCCTTGCCAGCAATTGGCAAACTAGCCTCGGAACCATTCACATCTAAATGTACCTTTAAATTACTTCTTTGAAATAACATCTGTCTGCATCTGTCTACAGTTTCCTTTATTAGGAAACTGATGGAAATTTGAACTAAAAAACGGAAGGGTTAAAGATTTAATGTGCATGCTTGTTTGATTATGTTACTACATTAAATAAGCTAAGGTGTTTTAAAATGTGCACTTACTGTATAATTATAAATAATTCATAATGTATAAATATCACTTCTTATGCTTGGTGCAAAACAGTGATACTAAGTAACCTTGCCTAATCCTGTTTTACTTCATCTATTCTAGGTATGGTTTCAAAATGCACGAGCCAAATTTAGACGGAATCTTCTGAGACAAGAAAATAATGGAGTAGACAAAACATCAGATTCCACCCTTCAAGCTGGGACTCCGTCAGGACCAGCCTCTGAAATTTCCAATGCCTCTATGAGCCCCTCCACTACACCAACTACATTAACAGACTTGACTAACCCTACAATGCCAACTGTGACATCCGTACTGACTTCGGTACCTGGTAGCTTGGATGTGCATGAGTCTCGAAGTCCTCCACAAACAACACTCACAAATCTCTTCTGATGACTCTTCAAAAGTTCCTTTAACAACAAAAAAGAGATTATTTTTAGTCAATTTCCAAGTGTATTTTAATAGAGACTTTGTTCAATGAATAAATTACATTTTTGGGGAACATTCTCAGAGAAGAGTTCATTGTGCTGGTGTTTTGATAAACTGAAGAATTGGTTGAAAGATGTATCTGCAACACAACATTTGTGTACCTGTACAGTTTTGTGGACTAAAAATAAGGGAAAGAACCATTAATTTAAGTTGGCTGAATCTTCTGTATTCTCAAAGACTGTTATGTGCCTTATATACTGTCTTATCAACATACATTTTCTCTCTGTATATTTATGACCAGAACTAAATTGTTACAAGTTTGTTACTTTTAAAATAGTCCTAAAAGGTTTCTTTGTTTAGACATTTTCTGGCAGAATTTTGGAGCGAGTAATGTAAAATGTGAGCATTCATAGATAATTTGGTGGTTTCTGTTCATCACAACATTTGCACTGGTAACTACAACCAGACAGGTTTACTGGGCTTGCCAGTAACCTTGGGTAAAGAGACTTTCCACAGGGATCTTAAAATTGTTTAGTGTGATATATAACCTCTTTAGATATTGAGAATGCTAATATATTGATATCTTAAACCATGCATACCTCCCAAATGTACATATTTTGGTGGACAACAGCCTCAGCTTTCTGACCCATGAAGAAGCAGAGCTTAGCATATGTGGTTGGAGTTTTGCCTGAACATGGACAGGAAGAGGAAAACCTGTATGGTACTTACATGTTCCAATTTTAAGTTTTAGGATGTTGGGAGGTGTGAAAGTGGTATGACCCTGTCTGCTCTAGTCCAGAAAGTAATTAATATTCCATTTAGGATTAGGAATTAAGGAAATTGGCTAACTGGAAATAAGTATTAAATACAATGCACAATGTTTGATTAGCATCTAAACAAACCGTTAAGGTTTTTGAGAGTAAAATGTTCATCTATCACTGTTTGAACTACTCTTAATTTGTTTTAAATCTCATATACTATACTGTTCACTGTGAAAATTAGTTTACAACTGGTGAGAAACAAGGCTTTCTACAGTCATTAAAATGTTGTTCATGAGATTAGTTGTCTCTGCCACAACAGTCACCAGAATTCAGTATTAGCTTTTACAGACATTTTTATTGTAGGACTAAAAGACAAACCACATATGTACATGGTTTTACAGTGCTGCACCCATAATCTAAATAAGTGACACACACCCACTATAAGCCAACCAGAACCAACTCCAATAATTATCCCATATGTATTTTCACAGCAAGGATCTCAAGAAAAATCAATACATCAATGAATCACTCTTCTAGAACTTGTGGTTCAACTAGAGTACAAAGGTGGTCATGATACTATCAACTGGAGATGTTTCACTCAGATTTAAAAGTGTATAACCCATAAAAAATATAATTTGATGCAGTGTGCGTGTCCTTAAATTTGGTGGCTGCATTCGTTTTTTTTATCAGCCTTTTTTTTGCTTTGTTTTCACTTGGTAATCCTGCAAGTAACACTTTCTACATTCACTCCACTCTATCTGTGAAGGAGCCATGGTTGTCACACTGGGCTACTCTCCTAATTTGGACTACAAACATGTCTTCTTCTCTTCTCCATTACATAGAGGGTAGGGGAATTTTTAGTTTACAAAATACAGCTTGGGAAAATTATAAAGAACACGTCTTGCAGGGCAATGAGTATTTTCTGAACTTGTTTTCCTAGACAAGCCATAGATGATGCAATTTTCTTTTTAGTAATCATGAGTTGTAGGAAAGAAAATCCCTTGATTTCCCCATCAGCACAGTAAGTGTTGATGGGGGAATCCCTCCCGTGGAGATATTGTGTACTAATGGTGGGGAGCCTTCCCTGCTGGCAAAACACAATTACTGCTAGGGTATAGCCTCCGGCAATAATCATGTGTAAAAAATCTGGCAAGCTTGTTGTAGTGAAGTTGATTGATGGATTGATGAATGCAATCAGTCTGTAAATGAATTGATCAAACCTTTACCGGTCCCTGCTGAATCCATCTATAGACGACGTAAGCCTGCAAAATTAAACTAATGCAGCCGCCACATCTAAGGACTATATGATTTTTTTTTTTGTTCTTGGGTTTAGATATCATTTAAATCTAAGTATACAGTACGTGCCACATGAACCATGGGTTTCAATGTTCAATGAGTCCTTAAAAAAACATTGACACAAAATTGCACTTCCACTGTTTTGTGGCCATTTTAAGAGTGGATTGTAGAGTCCTTGCAATGATGAGAATCACCATGCTCACTTCATTTTAAGTCTTAAATATACTGATTAGATTGGATGTGGATACAAATGAAGCTTACTCTTATGCAGATGAGGAAATTCAGAAAGGCACATTCTAGCACTCCTAGGTTTTAATATATCTTGTTCAGTGCCACACCTGCCTGAAACACTTTGGAATAAGTTACAGGCCAGCTCTGACTCGGAGAGAGTCACCAAAAGTATTTAGAAATAATGCCCTTTATAACTAAACTCATACTTAGCTAGTGTTTATTAATACCATTGGTAAAGCCAATTCGAAACAACCATCCTTGTATAAACTTATGGCCTGTGTGTAATCTTTTTGTAAAGTTTTGTTTGGTCTCTGAAAAAAGGTATAAAGCAGGAAAATAATTATACTAATAAACAAAGGCTGCTTCTTTTATTATGTGTTGGGCCCATTCCATTTCTTAGCACAGTGGTACTATGAGCTGGCTCTCTTGTCTGTGTTGAATTTTCTCCATCCGTCTCACCTTACCAGTGAGGGGTTGTTGGAGTTGTATATTAACATCAGCAGTAGCCAAGACTTAAGTATAGCTGCTTTAGCATATTGTGACAATTTTCCCCTATTTGTAATGTTGGATAAGGTCAGAACAATTCTGAGATGTTGTTGCATCTTTTGGATGGATACTTTTACCTCAACAATGCTTAATTTTTAAGATAGAATGAATGTTTGCCTTTTTGTTCTTGTTTAATACAGAAACATTAGTGTTCTTGATATGAAGAATAAATTTTGGCCGTGACATGAGTAATTGTTGTATACAGGTTGAATGAAAATTATTTTCTTCGTTTTCTTAGCATACTTGCACATGGTACTGATGTATAAACATCAGACTCCTTGAAGAAAATTCTTGCTCAAGTATGCAAGGATGTATAAAAAAAAAAATGCACATATTAGCACATATGCGTGTAAAAATGTTTCTAGTTTTTTTGTGGGCTATGACGTACGTGTGCACGTTTAAAATACTGTTCAGCAATGAAGATTTTTGTGTTTCTTTTTTTTACTAACAAAAAAAAAAAGAAACATGAAAACAAATTACTTGTGTTTAGACCAGTAAAAAAAAATCCAAACATCTGAATGCTTAAAGACAAGGCGTTTTTAGGTGTCCGTGTGCAAGAGGTCTTGGTATATGCAGAATGCTTAGCATTAGGTCATGCCCTTGTAGCAGTGCCATATTTACAGATGCACATTCTCAGGCCAGCTCAGCATTCTGTCTCACTAGAGCGTCCACCTTGCTAAACTGCCAGTATGGACTGGACTGGGACAAAAACACATAATTGACAGTTTCTAAAGTATGTCTGCAATGTATGGTTTTTTTGTTTTGGCTGTACCAAACTGTATTTAAAAGCTCAGGCCTGAGAAACATTGACATAATGGGTAACCATGTTACACCTTATGCCAATAGTAGGCCTCATCATAGTAACTGTGTATAGAGGTTATCATTTCACATATAGAGGGGTGAAGTGTGGAAGCCCTTAAAACTGTAATGGGGGTACAAAGGGTGGTACAGCCCTGGTTCTATTTAACCTTACTTAAATGGAACCTTACCTTAATGTACAGTTGAGTCCTTTCCCCCCCTCTCAGTTTGAAAAATGTACACAAAACTTAGCACAGTGGCATGTGCTCCTTTTAATTCCATTCACAGTTATTGTATTAGGTACCTAAACAACTGCTAGCTATTTGACATAAAATATAAGAATAATTCAAAGACAAGGAATAACCTGGGTCTCTCCATACAACATGCAATTAATTTGCATCTTATTTTTTATTCTGCAAAAACCTTGCCTTTTTCTTTCCTGCATTCCCCATTTCTATGCAATCACATATCTTGAGTTCAAAATAATTCCCCCAAAGACATGTAAATTTACCATATGTCTTTTCTGTGTTTCACAAAATATGTAATTCAGGACACTTGAAAATGGCTGTTTTTCTGTCTTTTGAAGGCAGTATGCAGACAATCCATGATAAACCATATCGGGAAGTAATACAAAACAATACTCAGAGGGTCTCAAATACATATAAAAATGTTGACTTCAGGACATAAAAACCGTAAAGGACTAAACAAAATTACACATGTGATCCATATATAATCCTTTTTGAGATAGCAATTGCTGCTTGAAGTTAACGCTTATGTTAAGCAAAACCTATAGAATGTTGACTGGGAAAGTATGCCCCATCCCTAACATATTAGGTACAGAAAAAATAATTATTTTGAAAGGATTTTTGCGGCACAATTCTCACCATATTAAATAAACTTTGTATTTTGTAAGACTATATTACAAAATTACGACATTAAAATTTCCTCAAAATCATATTTTTGGTTATCTCCAACTGCCATATTATTATTTGTTGTAGATTAAAGTACAATTCAGATCCCTTGAAACGGGTGATAAGTTCAACCTGTTATAAACATGCCATCAGAAAAATATTTATATGGCTCAATACATTTCCTGGTTCATAGTCAACCTCTTCAGAAGTGGGTGTTGGAAACTAGTTAAGAACAACTCTGGAGAACCACTTGGAAGTATTATTTTTTGGCTTGAAGGATCCAAAAGAGGACCTAACCACAGGGCAAAGGAAGAAACCCACCAAGCATCCCAAAATACCAAAATACCCCTCTCTCCTCCCATTTCACTCACAAAATGGCCCTGGGATTATCAATATTATTTATTATTTTTCAAGATGATGG